GGTTGGTGTCCATCCCCATAATTGTAAAAAACAGCATTTACGATGAAATTCAGGTTGTACAAGTTTATGATAATGCCATTTGGCTTGACGAATGCTCTTGCCACTTTCCAACAATTGATAGATCATGTGCTGCAACAAGCGATGTAGAACTTTGTGCTGGCCTACATTGATGATGTGAATGTTTACTCTCTGAGTTTTGAAAAACATGTGGAACATATTGAGGTAGTTCTGGGTAAGTTACGTGAAGCGAACTTGAGACTCAACCCTGATAAGTGTTACTTTGGAAAGGACCGAATTGAATTTTTGGAGCATGAAATAATAGGTAAGGGTATAACTACATCAGAATCAAATATAATGGCCATGAGTAACTTTCTGAGACCTAAGAACCTCTGTTCGATTAAAGGTTTCTTGGGTTTAGCCAGGTTCTACTATTGGTTTATCAAGGATTTTTTCAGAATAGCTGCCTCTCTCTATAAGCTATTAAAGTTAAATAAGAATTTTGTATAGTAAAACAAGCAACAAGAGGCATTCAATGAATTAAAAATGAGGCTTACAGGGATGGGGTCCCGTAGCCTAGTGGTCTAGGTGCCCCTCCCTCCACAGACAAGGTCAACGGTTCAATTCTAGCTGGAGGCAAAAACTCTGTAATCTACGGAAGCATATGAATGTACACGAAGCCCTGTGGCTAAGCCCATGTGAATAGAAGATCAGTGTATAAGAAAGTTCCCGAAAAGAAGTTTCCCAATATGGAGAGTTGGCGCTCGATGCGAGAGAAACAGTGAACATACCAGAAATAGAGAGAAGGCGCACTAGCGGGTGATACGGTGAACATAAAAGGAAACTACGGAAAAGGAATGAACTTACTGAAATTCGAACACCTCTGGCATTAAAAACTAGTTTAGTAGATACGGGATACACTAAATTGGATCTAAGTGGTAATCTTGGTACCAGCTTAGTAGCTTGCGTTGAGGGTGAATCGAGGGCTATGGATACTCGGTAACATCCAATAGTGTGGTACCTTGATATAAATAGTAACCAGGTAGCCCTAACCTGATATGTCATAAAAATGAATGTAGGTGTTGCACATATATGCAATAGTGTTGAAAATCAGAGACTTTAAATAGGAAATCCACAGGCAGGTTCCAGATATGGCAATTAGCAGGTAACCTGTAGGCGGAACCTTTAAATAGACAATGACTAAAGTTGTACGTGTGGCTAATTGTA